AATCTTTGGCAGTTCTTGGCTTGTCGATGCATCAGTCCAATCTTTGCCTCCATCTTCATGTCTTCTCTGTGTGTCTTCTCCTCTTCTTATAAAGACATCAGGCATTGGATTTAGGGCCCATCTTCCTAATTAATTGAATCTGCAAAGACCCTATATCCAAGTAAAAGCACATTCTGAGGTTCTCTGGAAGACAGGAATTTTTAGGGAGACCACTATTTAACTCACCACAGTAATCATAGGTTTTGACAATTTCATTTTACTACACATTATCTGTGTCCTAGCCCCCATCCAGACGGACATGTTATAACAGCCCATTCCTGAAGAATGTTCCATTCATCCTATCAACAAATACGTTGAGCCACCTACTATGTGCCAGGCATCTAGATTGGAATGAACTGTGAACAAGACTGCTGTGACTCCTGCCTCACACGGTACAGCTGCTCTGTGAGACAAAGGCTGTGCCTGTCCCCAGAGAATCGCCATGCCTAGCACAGTGTCTGGTGCTTCATAAGTAAATGTCCATTCGATGAATAAGTGAATGGATAAATGAGAGACACAGACAAGCCGATATTCACAATACATAGTGAAAGTATGCTGTGATGGGGAAATGACAGAGCAGACGGTGCTGTTGGGACAGCCGAAAGGGCAGCCATAATCTAGACTTTCAGGGGTTAGGAATGCTTTGTTGGAGGAAATAACTCCTCAGTTGAGATCTTGCTGGAGTTAGTTGAGCAAAAGGTGTGGATGGGAAGGGATGGAATGGATGTTGTAGGCAGAGGAAATGTTGGCTTAGCACCTGGAAGTAAAGCAGATTGTGAAGATTCACCAGCCTGTAGGAAGATCAGAATGTCTCCATGGGAGACTAGTGAAGACGAGCTGCTGGGCCATCTAGAACAGTGCTGTCTACTAGAGCCTTCTGCACTGATGGCAGTATTCTAGATCTGATCTGTCCAGGGTGGTAGCCATGAGCTACATGTGGCTAGTGAGCACTTAAAATGAAGTTAATGTAACCAAGGAACTGAACATTCAATTACATTTAATTTTATTAAATGTTTAATGATTTTAATTTAAATAGCCACGTGTGCTAGTAGTTTTACATTGAACATTTACATTTACATTTAGGTCCTAATATCCTGACTTAATTTAAAAATCACAGTTTTGTCCATTTATTCAGCTTTTTCCAACACCAAGTCTTTCATCAGATCTACTTTCAGGAAGCCAAATGGATCTGAACTTTGCCTGCTCTCCAGGTTAAGAGACTTTGGCAAATGCTGCAGAGTCCAAGAGCTGGCTGACAGAGGCAGAGTGAGGCCTTAAATAAGAAATAGATCAACATTTAGTAAAATGTCTGTGGGCATCTAGACACACATTATCATGTTTTTTGAAATACACATTGTTCCTTTTAAATTTTTTTATTTTTGTTTTTATTTTTTTAATTTATCTACGATAGTCACAGACAGAGAGAGAGAGAGGCAGAGACACAGGCAGAAGGAGAAGCAGGCTCCATGCAGGGAGCCCGACGTGGGATTCGATCCCGGGTCTCCAGGATCGTGCCCCGGGCCAAAGGCAGGCGCCAAACCACTGCACCACCCAGAGATCCCCACATTGTTCCTTTTAATTTTAAAAAGTGAAATGTAAACATGCACCAACAGTGGAAAAGACCCATTGCCGCTGAGAAGAGTCAACTGAGGATCAGAAGTCAAGAGGTCAGGTGGAAAGAGAGTTTCTTTTCACAGAATGCCCTTTTCTACTGCCGAGTATAGTATGAGCACACACTATCATTAAAAATGAACCAAAAACCAAAACCAAAAAAAATGGCTCTTAGCAGAGAACAGTGGCCACTGCAGACTGAAGGAAATTGGATTGCCCGTTGGCTACGGGAGCCTGCCAAGCAAGGTCCAGGGTCATTGAGATTTACTTGGATGCACTTACTGCAAATGAGATTTTAAAAGCTCACCATTTCCCAGACAAAATGCTTCCCAGCTGTTGTCTGTGGATGTGCAAGGAGGCTCCCGAGGTCCCATTAAGGAGCAGGCAACTAAAATGTACCCAAAGCCAAATAAGCCACGAGTTGCAGTTTCTTTAGAATGTGACATGACAAGGGGAACTGAATCCCGACTGTGAAAACGCAGTCCCAGGGGAGAAGTGGTGGGGCCACAGCTGGGTGCTAAGGGCACAGCTGCAGCAGCCTGACATGTGGCCCCCAGGCTTCAGATGGGCAGCCTGGCCACCCCTGCATGGCCTCCACCTGATAAGGATGGCCTGCAAAGCTACTGAATTTCTTTTTTCTGTCTTTGCATTCAATAAGTAGCTTTTTAATCTTAATTTGCATTTCCAGTGAGGGTTCCCACTGGAGAGACAAGGTGATGACTAGTTAGAACCAGCACTGTGGTTCAGCAGGGCTCCAACGGAAAGGCAGGCGTTAACTCTTGCCAATGCCCACGTTCAGTCTCAAGGGGGTTTGGATTTAGGGAGCCAGCGCCAAGTGTGGAACCAGCGCAGGGTTTGGAATGAGAGGAACCCCGCCCCCATTCTGGGCTTCTCTACTCACAGGAATGTGATCTTGATCTTGTTACTTAACCTCCGAGCTTTGGCTCCCTCCTGTGTAGAATGGAAATGATGGAACTTTGTGGAGCTTGGGTGAAAATTGACAAAATAGAGGCAAAACACTTGAGATGAAGAATGTGATAGACATTCGAGAAAGGATTCTCTCAATATATATTATGTATGTATTGTATGTATCTCTGGAGAGAGAGATAGAGATCATATATATGAGCATACAAAACCATATATATGACAAGATTCCTCAGTTAGCCGAATGTGCAAGCCACGGCTTTGGGGTGACCCCAGGCATCAGCATCAATCTCTAAGCCCCTCAAGAATCCATCTGCCCACTCCTCATCAAGGTTATTTAGGTTTGGGATATCAGATAAAGCTCTGAGGACAGGAGACTGTATCTAGGCCTGGTTCTACCACTAGCTGGCTCAGTGACTGAGCAAGTGACCAAAGCTGCCTGGGCCTCAGTGTCCTCATCTATTAGACAAAAGAGATTTGATCCAAATTCAACTTACACTGAGATAACTAGTTGGGCCAGGTGACCTATAAATCTTTTATGCTCTAAGATTAAAAATGTGTTCTTTGCTCTATATGATGGAAGTTTGAAAATCACATGCTCACACTCTGTAGAGTGCATCCACCTCACGTTTGGCGAGGGGCAGTGTGTGGCTCAGAAGGAATAACCAGGCTTCTCCCCAAGTGTCTTCCCTCTCATCTGCTGGGCTTCCCTAGCTTTCTTTTGCACTGGGCCTGGAGGCAGACAACCCAGGAGGGCCAGCCTTTCTTTCATTTCTCCCTGGGCACATTCTAGGTGGCTGGTCCTCAGTCTTCTGTGTGTATCAGAACCACCCAGGGAGCTTTTTGGAATTGAGCTTCTGATCCTTTTCCCTGTCTATTCTGCTTCTGTTAGCCTGGGGCCGGGGCAGGGGGTGGGGGAGGGGAGTGGCAGGATGGAGTCAGGAGTCACCCTCAGCAGTTTTAAGGTGGGTGGTCTATGGACCACCTTGACCTAAGCCATGGTCCCTCGTGCCGCTCCCACCCTGACCCTGGTACAAAACAGGAGGGAACCGGAGGGCCTCGCTGCCTGCAGAGGAATGAAATCTTGCTCAGTGGAGAGGGCTGAATGGCGTTTGAATCAATGCCAACAGGCATTTCATGATTTGTCACCTGGGACACCTGAGAGAGAGAAACAGCCCTGCAAACCACAAAGAACAAAAGATGGGAGTCGTGGCAGAGGAAAAGGAATCGTTTCCTGCGTATTCCATCCTCTCCCTGGATCCTGTGTGCCTGAACACTTACTGACGGCACCTGCAACTGGGCGCCCATGACTGGGTGTGGTGGGACCAGAGCAGGTGCCCTTGGTGGGAGAGGAGAAGGCCTCCTTGGAGATGTGTCATGAGCCCATGTTCACGGCCAAGGTTGCACCTGGCTCCAAGCACCTCTGGAGTCTGCTGTCCTGTTTGAAAATGCCTTTCCCTGGAGGTCAGATGGGCCCTTAAAGAAAACATTTTCTGGCATTTAGCGAAAGTTTTGCAACTGGATATTTTTTAAAGATTTTATTTATTTGAGAAAGAAAGAGAGGGTGAGAGAGAGAGAGCATGAGCAGGGGGAGGGGCAGAGGGAGAAGCAGACCCCGCCACAGAGCAGGGAGCCCCATGTGGGACACAATCCCAGAACCCTGAGATCACGACCTGAGCCAAAGGCAGATGCTTCACCAACAGAGCCACCCAGGCATCCACAACTGGCTGTTTTGTATCAGAAGCAAGATGTCCATGTTACTGGATCTGATCCGGAAGGGAGAGAGTCAAGGCAGGGTTACTCATTCATACAACTTAGCAAGGAGAGTGTAATGGAAAGAGCTCAGGTGGATGTGATTCAGGCCTGTTTCCCCAGAAAGCATCAACCACAAGGACACCTCCGAAAAGACAAGAGTCATTGGGCACAGGAGGCTGGCGCAGCACTAGTGCTGGGAGACCATAGGGTGCTCTGAAGGGGACCAGGGGCGGGGGCTGAGAAGCCGTAGCAGTTGTACAGAGACACGTCTAAAAAATAAAGGCCGTTTCTTCTCCCTGAGTCAGTAAAGATTAAGACCATGAGCTTCAGAAACTACCTCCTAGAGCTGAACCTAGTTCCTGCTCCATAAATTTAGACCATTACCTAAACTCGATCCCCTGCTTCTGCACCTATAATTTAGGGCAACAGTGTTACCATTTTCATAGGGGTGTTCTGAGCACTGAATCACTCATTGGAGGTAGAGCCTGGCAGACAGCACTCCCTGAAGGCTAGCTGGCCATTGTTCACAAGTGGCAGGACAGATGGGAAAAGTTGTACTCAGGCTGGGAGCCTCAGTTGCAAAGCTGGGCTTTGAGCAAGCCCAGGTATTGTAGGGGAGAGAGGACTACTTCCGTCTTTATTTTTTTTTAATTTTTATTTATTTATGATAGTCACACAGAGAGAGAGAGAGGCAGAGACACAGGCAGAGGGAGAAGCAGGCTCCATGCACCGGAAGCCCGACGTGGGATTCGATCCCGGGTCTCCAGCATCGTGCCCTGGGCCAAAGGCAGGCGCCAAACCACTGCGCCACCCAGGGATCCCTACTTCCGTCTTTAAATGAAGAAGAGAAGGCTTCATCAGTCAACAGCCAGTGAGAGAATGAAAGATGTAAGTTTTCATCCCCTTTTCTCTATCTTTCCAACATATGAACGCAATGTAAAATATCCGCCCCCCCACCCCCAGAAGAGAACCCGTCTTTGGCCCTCAAGCCCCGTCGGTTACCACATTGTTTCTCTCCCCCATTTCCAGCATAGCTTCTGGGAGGGGCTGCCACATACACCATCTTCAAGTGCTTCCTACCGTGTCTCATGAGTACGTCCAGCCAGGCCTCACCCGCGACCACCACCACTGTCCAGGTCCCCAGTGACCTTCATCCAACACTCAGTTCTTATTCTTCTCTTTCTTGACTGATGTGTAGCTCTTGGTACAACCACTTCCTCTTCATTATGCAATTTTCAATTGGCTTTGGGGACACGGCACTTCTGTGTTCCTGGCTGCTCCTTCTGAGTCTCCTCTGCTGTTCCTCCTCACTCCCAGACTCTCTGTGTTGGGGTGCTCAGGCCTAGTCCTCCTCACCTCTAGTGATCTCATCTAGTCTCCTGGCTGCCAAGAGGGTGAAGTCTCCTAATTTTATATCTCTGCTGGGGACCTGCCCCCTAATTTCAAACTCTATGACCAACTTCCCAGATAGATAGGCATCTCAAGCCTGACTTCTCCAAAACTGAATTCTTGCTCTTTCCTCCACAACTCACCACATGGCACAAAGTCTCGTTTTGGCAAATGACAGCTCACCCTTTCAGTAGCTGCTGTGAACTGAATTGTATTCCCCTCTACCCCAAATCCATATGTTGAAACCCTAAGCCCCCATGTGACTGTATGGGAGACAGGGCCTCAAGGTAATTAAGTTTAAATGAAGTTGTAAGGTTGGAGCCCTGAGCCAACAGAATTGGTGTCCTTATCAAAGAAGAAGAGACACCAGAGTTCTCTTCCCACCATTGAAGACACAATGAGAAGGGTGTGGTCTGCAAAGCAGATGGAGGACTCTCACCAGAAGCCAGCCACGCTGGGACCCTGGTCTTGGACTTCCCAGCCTTCAGGACTGTGAGAAATGAATTTCTGTTGTTTAAACCACCCAGTCTGCAGTATTTTGTTATGACAGACCAAGCAGATGAATACAATTGCTCGGATCCAAACACTGAGCATCATCCTCAACTCCTTTCTTTCTTCCACATCCTACGTCCAATCTGTCAGCAGATCTTATCAAGTCTATCTTCAAGACAGAGCCAGACTTTACCTACTACTTATCACCGACTTGATTCAGACCACTGGATCATTGCAGTGACCTTCTTAGCTGATCTGCCTGCTTTGGATTGTACCACCTCACAGCAGTTTATTCTCAAAACAGCAGCCAGAGCAATGCTTTTTTTTTTTTTTAATTTTTTTTTTAAATTTTTTTTTTATTTATTTATGATAGGCACACAGTGAGAGAGAGAGAGGCAGAGACATAGGCAGAGGGAGAAGCAGGCTCCAGGCACCGGGAGCCCGACGTGGGATTCGATCCCGGGTCTCCAGGATCACGGCCCTGGGCCAAAGGCAGGCGCCAAACCGCTGCGCCACCCAGGGATCCCCAGAGCAATGCTTTTAATGCTAAAAGCATTTCTGTGCTAGCACACCTTTGGGGACTGGCTTCTCAGCTTGCTCACAGAAAAGCCATCATCTTTTAAAATGGCCCACAGGGGGGCGCCTGGGTGACCCAGGCTGAGGAGTATTTGGCTCAGGGTGTGGTCTCAGGGTTGTGAGATTGAGCCCCATGTTGAGTCGAGGTCGTGTTGGGGTGTAAGTAGGGCCTAGAGTCTGCTTAAGATTCTCTCTCCCTCTCTCTGCCCCTCCCACTCGTGCTCTCTCTCTCTCTCTAAATTGAATAAATAAAGCTTTAAAAAAATTTAAAAATTAAACATAATAAAACAAAATGGCCCCAGGGCCTACACAACGTCTACATTCCCCTCCTGGCCAAACCACAAGCTCTCCCAGCCCCTTCCTGACTTCTTCTTCCCTCACCCTAGCACACAGATTTGTCCCTGCCTGGGTCCTTCTCAAGATTTCCCAGGCCTTCCAGGTCCCAGCTCAAATGTGGTCCTCACAAGGAGGCTTTCCCCGAACACCCTGTTAGAGGGCAGCCTCCCCACCCACGCACATGCCCTGTCCTGTTTCCTGACTTATTTTCTTCACGGCACTGTCACCATCTAACACCACATATGGTTTGCTTGCTTGCTTCTTTATTGTCTGTCTTCTGCCACAACAATATGAGAACACACATTTCAGGAGAACTGTTTCTGGGTTCGTTCCCGGGGAGCCTTCGAGCAGACCTGCTACCAAGTACCGTCCCACGAAATAATCATTGACTAAATGAATAAATGAACGATTCGTTACATTTTTTTTTCAGAAAGCTCAAGCCTTTGAAATGAAGTACTCTTTAATACTTACATAACTGTCTCTAAATAAAGATTTTTGCTTTAGAAGTAATTAGGCGCACACCAATTTGCCCGCAGCTGGTTCCATGTAGGCAGTCTGGACTCCAGGCCCCTTGTGGAGCTGTGAGCGTACCCTCCTTTCCATTGCCAGCCAAGTCCTGCAAGGGGGGAAACACCCTAAAGCCTGTGTTCATAAACCTTAAGGGAGAATAACATTGTGATGGTGTTTTTTAAGAGTACAGGTGGGAGTGTTAAAAGATGCATTTAAAGATGAATTTGTTGGGGTATTTAGTTCACTTGGAAAAAATTCAACCTTTTTACCTTCGACCTGGTACCTGGGAAGTCTTCCTTTGGAACATGGGAAGTTTCCATTCTTCTGATATTGGAATACTCCTTGGGAAAACAGCATGGGGATTCTAACCGTTTCAGTCGGCTTGGGTCTCACCCGGAGGGAAACAAGAAAATTACCCAGAAAGGCAGCAGTGTCATCCTCCTTCCCGGGCTGTGCCCCGGGCCTGCTGAGAGCACTTTCCCAGGATCCTGTAGCAAGCAGTCTGGCTTGGCCACCTCGTGTCTCTGACAGCCCCCCCTCCAAACCCCAGGATGCCCCCCTCCGAGCCCCAGGATGCCTGACAGCTCAGGCTTGCAGCCAAGAACTATTACTGGAACACTACTTTCTGCTTCTCCTGAAGAGACCACTGGTGGTTTTTGCTTCAGAATCCCCGCCTTCTGGGAAGAGCCTTCTACAAAGCAGATTTAAAAGTGTATAAGGTCACAAAACACATTCTGTCTTCCAAGGGGTAGGAAGAGCAGGACCTTCGGTGAGCTGCCTGGCCACCAGCAAGGAGTGTCCTCCACTCATCCAGCTGGGCCTGCACCTACTTTCTCAGTGCAGGAAAAATTAACCCCGAGATGAAGCTTCTGCATCTCAGACCAGAAAGTCCAATGTGCCCAGAGTGATAAACCTTGCTGCCTCCCACATTCCTTTTTTTTTTAATTTTTATTATTTATGATAGTCATACGGGGGGGGGGGCAGAGAAGCAGGCTCCATGCACCGGGAGCCCGACGTGGGACTCGATCCCCGGTCTCCAGGATCGCGCCCTGGGCCAAAGGCAGGCGCCAAACCGCTGCGCCACCCAGGGATCCCCCCACATTCCTGATTAGAGCTGCTTGTGGAAAGGTGACTTCTCCCAATTGCTGGCCTATGGACACTGTTCATCCCTTCAAATATGGTGCCTTGATGAATGCCTGTACTGGTTGGGTTTTTTTTTTTTTTAAAGATTTCTTAGAGATAGAGAGAGAGAGAGCGAGAGAGCCCATGGCAGTGAGAGAAGGGGAGGGCAGAGAGAGGAGGAGAAGCAGACTCCCCACTGAGCCTGACATGGGGCTCAATCCCAGGACCCTGGGATCATGACCTGGACCATAGGCAGATGCTTCACTGACTGAGCCACCCAGGTGTGCCCCCTGTACTCATTTTTAAAACTTTCTGAAAGAAATTTGGTGCCTTCAACCTTCAATGAAAGGGAGGAAGAGAAAAACACAATGGATGTTTACATAGCATCTGCCTGCGAGAAACACAAAGCACTTGGCATCTAAGGGAAGTTTTCAGATACAGTGGCCAGACTCTGAAGGCCCAGGTGCTTTCTGTCCCTTTTTATGGGACTCGGGTGGATATAAATGATTTGCTTCATGTCTTTAATATATTACTTAAATTTGGTATAAAAATTCCGAGGGGTGCCAAAGGGCTCCGTGAAAAGCTGCAGGGCTTTCCTCCACCTCCCTCTGCCTGACCCTCCACCTCTGCTCCCCTCTGGGCTTTTGTTTTAATTTTACATTGTCATGGTTCACATCCAGGTTCTCTTCTAGAAACACAATGGAATCTGCTGTGTTCTCTCTGTAGAGGCCTTCCGAACATTTAAAACAAATAAACATTGTCTGACACGGAAATGTGAAGGCCTTTTAAGATCCTCAGGCTCTAACTCTTGGAGGGCTGTGTCCGTATGGGATTGTCAAACAAAACCCCAGGACAGCCCATCCTGTTATCTTCAATCATCCCCTTTGGGGTGGCAGGAGTCCTGCAGGTAGTGGCAGATCCCATCATGTAAAGACTCTTCATTCTGCATGTATCTACATGGCTTGAGACCAGGTTTGCAAGGCACACACACGTTGTGCAATTATCTGGGAGGTAATTATGAACTACATCTTGCTTGCTGCCTTGCAATCAAAGTCAGGAGAAGGATTGCACAGCTCAACCTTGTTCAGCTCACCAGAAGGGCCACTGTAGACTTCTGAGCATGAGTTGTTGGACAGGGGAGCTGTGAAGATGGAAATGCAGGCTTCTGTTTGGATTCCCCAAAGCCTTCGATGGATAAAAGACTTTATATATATATATATATATATATATATATATATATATATATATATTATTTTATTTATTTATTTTTAATTTTTATTTATTTATGATAGCCACACAGAGAGAGAGAGAGGCAGAGGGAGAAGCAGGCTCCAGGCACCGGGAGCCCGACGTGGGATTCGATCCCGGGTCTCCAGGATCGCGCCCTGGGCCAAAGGCAGGCGCCAAACCGCTGCGCCACCCAGGGATCCCGATAAAAGACTTTCTTAAGAAGATGCCAAAATCCTTCTCACCAACACCGACACTGAGACCATCGCCTGGTGAGTGCCAGTGCACCAGGTAAACCCCTGCTTCTCCGTTTCAGGGACTGTGGACTCACACAGACTCAAGTTTGATTCTCGGCTTTGCCCTTGTGAGCTGTCAGCTCCTGTCAACTTGGTCTCTGTAAACCCGTTACCTAAGATATAAAGGGTGCTGCTTGACATGTCTTGTAGGATACAGAAACAAATACGGCCAGAATGCTGTGCTATACAGAAGGATTCATTATATAGCTGTTTCTTCACCTTGCCTCCTCTCTCCTCTTCTCCTATTCTGAGTAGATATTAATGTTTTTGACTCCAGTCAATCCTATTTCAAGTGGGGCTCGGCAGACAGCTGCAGACTGACCTTGCCTCCAAGAGCATTTTTTCAACTAAAGTTTCTGGAAAGAATACCAGCTGTCGCTCCATTCTGTTTTTGTTGGCCAAAATTTTTAAGTTTCAAGATATTTTACCTTTCCCAGGTGAGTTAAACATAAAATCACACTTTTTAATTTGATGGTATGCAATACTATAAGATTTGGCTGAATCTCAGCCAGTGCAAGATTAGTGAGTTGGAAGGAGATTGAGTTGATAAAAATTCTGGTATTTTATGATTATCTAATAAGATGGAGATCGCAGAATATATGTATGGGTTCCACATGAGGAAGCATAATATCTGCATGGGCCTCATGTTAGTGTGAGGATTAATTTCTTAGCCAAGTTTTTTTTTTTTTTTAAAGATTGTATTTATTTATTTGTGAGAGACACAGAGAGAGACGCAGAGACACAGGCAGAGGAAGAAGCAGGCTCCCTGCAGGGAGCCCAATGTGGGACTCGATCCCAGGACCCCAAGATCAGACCCTGAGCCAAAGGCAGACGCTCAATCATTGAGCCACCCAGGCGTTCCTCGGCCTAGTTTTTAAAAGATGTCCCCATGTAAGAAAAGCTTTATATGTTCCTTCCAATTTCTATTGAGCATGGATACACAGAAGTGATACCAGAGACAATGTAGCTAGTCCATCCATTAAAATTAGGGTGTGCACACACACACACACACACACACACATTTCCATTTAAAACCTAGTGACGGAAAACAAAACAAAACAAAAAAACAAAAAGCAAAAAAACCTAGTGACAGGGCAGCCCTGGTGGCACAGTGGTTTAGCGCCAGGGTGTGCTTCTCCCTCTGCCTATGTATCTGCCTCTCTCTCTATGTGTGTCTCTCGTGAATAAATAAATAAAATCTTAAAAAAATAATAAAATTAACAGATTTCAACCATTTTTATGAAGAGAGAAGAAATGATTAAATCATGGCATGTTATTACCACTTCTGTTACCAGTTATACCCAATCTTCTTCATGCACAGGATCACCATCACTCATGTCCCTAAATAAGTGTGTGTCAGCTCAAGCTACTGTAGAAGGCTTTTCATATTTCTCGGTGACGTTATTGCTACCTACTCCCCTATCCATCTCTTTTTTTTTTAATTTTTTTTAATTTATTTATGATAGGCACACAGTGAGAGAGAGAGAGAGAGACACAGGCAGAGGGAGAAGCAGGCTCCATGCACCGGGAGCCCGACGTGGGATTCGATCCCGGGTCTCCAGGATCGCGCCCTGGGCCAAAGGCAGGCGCCAAACCGCTGCGCCACCCAGGGATCCCCCCTATCCATCTCTTGATAAAGTGTTTAGTACTTCAACAAGTAATGATTCAAATTAGATGAAAAATTGTCTCTTGGATTACATTTTAAAGAAGACTCCAGGGTGTGAATCATGGGGTAGTAAGTCCTGCTTAAAGCATGATCTAGGACAAGCGCCAAGCCTCCGGGAGGCCATTAGGAACCAATGCCCTGTGTGGCAGCGCTCGTAGCCTAGAGGCTTGTCTATCTCGTGTGAAATTCCGAGTACATTTCCAAAGCCCTGAAAATGAAAAAGAGCATACAGCCACATCCTGGAAGTGCTTCTCTAAATCGGCCCCTTAACCAGAGTCCCAGTGCCCCTGTGCCTGTCGCTGGAGGCTGGGAGCGCGTCCTCTCCCGCCCACGGCCCCTGGCCCCTCGGGGCTGCTGCAGCCCGGGGCCTGACCTCCCTGCACCTGCTCGCTCGCCTGCTGCACACTGGTGCAGCTCAAGGCCGCGCCTGGTCCAGGTTGGAGGAAGCCGGTGCTTCAACAGCAGAGTGTTTGAAGGTGTGACGACCAGTTTCTTAGTAACGGAAGCTGGTCTGCTCAACTTAATATTTCATTAAAACATTTGCTCCCACGTACTTGTTTTGAGAGAGGACTCCTCCCCCCTCTGGAATGCTTAATCTGCGGCTGATCCGCAGAGCTGAGGTGAGAGGTCGCTCTAGGGCACGGCGGACAAAGGGGGGGGGGGGCTTCCGCGCCACCTCCCGGACGCCGCCTGCAGTCAGCGGCCCAGCCAGGCCTCGGGAGTCCCGCGACAGAAGCGCCTCTGCTCGCTCTGGGCCACCGTCAATCCTGGTGTGAAAGGGAAGCGATGGGCGTGCAGTGCAAGGGGAGAGACGTAGTTGTTTCACTTAAAGCAAAGAAGCCCGGTTGGAAGTAAGTTCAGCTTTTCTCAAGATTTCAAGAATGTCGGGTAGAATCTCTTAGAACAGACACTATTGCAACAGTTCCTTGTAAGTTCCCAGTTTCTACTTTTGACCACTTTTTTTTCTTTTTTTGGCCTGTTTTTTGTTTTTACTGGAGGCTCAGGTGGCACATGACAGTTCATAAATGGCTTCAGAGGTAGGGGCTGGGGCTGGGGGAGGGGAGACAAAAAATAACTGGGGTGGGAAAGAAAACCAGGAGGAGGTAAGAGCTGGCTGGTTCCTTCTCAGCCTGATTTAGGGGAAGGAGCTGGTGCCTCTGAACAATAGGATGGATCCCTTCCTTCACCCCTTGGTAGGGGAGAGAGAAAAAGCAAAAGGCTGTTGCTTCGGCCCTCCTGAGTCTCAAGGAAAAGGGGAAAGCCGGTGTTCCGATGTCATGAATTCTGGGAAGGGGGAGGGGGTGCTGGGTCGGGTAGAGGGCAGCCTCTAAAAAGTCAGGATTCTCAGGGATGTCCTTTTCCTAAGACACTAAGTTGAATCTTTTGTTTAGACAAAGGGTTACTAGCCTCCTTTGCTGTTGGTGGATAACACGATGTATTGTAGTTGCAAACCGTGAGTCTCTAGGACTCAGAATTTCTATGAAAGTACCTTATCACTTCTGCAAATTGGGAAATCAGCCAAAGGGGTGTGCGTGAATCCGAGTGCTGGCGACACTGTGGGAGGTGAGCTTGTCGCAGCGGGCTCTGCACCCCTGGGGGTGGAGTCTGAGCCCCTGGGGTGGAACCTCGAGCCCCTGGGGGTGGAGCCCAGAGCCTCTGAGGGTGGAGCTCGGAGCCCCTGAGGTGAAGTCCGAGTCCTTGCGGGTGCTCACCTTACCCTGCACCCAGGAGGACAGGGACTAGAGAAAGAAGACACATTGCAAATGGAATTGACAGTCTGGCAGCTGACAGGGCAGCAGATGAGGGCAAGTAAAAGTCAAATGTGAGGCCAAGGCCTTGGTGCCCAGAGCACCTGCTACAGGGCTAGACCCCAGGATCCTGGTTCCCTTTGGCCAGCAGGATATGACACATCCCAGTACTGACAGGGCTGGGATGATTAGACCAGGCTTTTTCAGGCAAGTCAAACCCCCATCCCAGGCTTCCGCACATCCTTGAAAAGCACGCTAGATCCTCTCCCATCCATTAAAGACCCTCCCTCCAAATCCCTCCCTCTTTCCTTTAGAAACAAAGGTCCCATTTCCTCCTCCTCCTCCTCTGGGCCTTCCACGCCAGCCACATGGCAGACTGCACCACCGAGGCCGCCAGAGACCCCGCATGGCTCAGGGGAGCGGACACTCTTGAATGACTCCTCAGCGTCACTCGTCACTCGCTGGAGGTGGCCCCTCCCTGTTGGCTTTTCCCTCCCCCCACTCCCCCCTTCCGCGTCTGAGGCGGTGGTTTTCGGTCCCTCGGTCTGCTCCGTGTCTGACTGTTGGCAGTCCCTCCTCACAGCGTCGTTGGCTGCTCTTCTCAGTTGCACCCTCAGCCGTCAGTGCACTTACCTGCTCCCTCACTCCCTCAGCTTTAAATGCCATCAGAGTACTGTCAGGACCCAAATGTATGGCCCCAGACCTCTTATTTGAGCCCCAGGCTCACACCCTGCTGCCTCCTCCACTCTCTGCTTGGATATTTTGGAGACGGTTCAAACTTAGCATGCCCACGTTTTCCTCCTCTTCCCCCGCCCCCCTAGTTTGCTCCCCATTTCTCATGATACAGGTGAAGCAGCTGTTCTTAACATTTTCCTCTCCCTCTTACCCAGTTCATTAACAAGTCCTACTGATTCCACTTCCAAAATCCGTGTTACCACCATCCACCCTGTTCTGTTTCCACTGCCACCACAGTGACCAAGAAACCTTTCTTTTTTTTTTTTTTTCCTGGACTATTGCATTAGCATCCTAACTCAGTCCCCACCTGGTCTTTCTTCCCAACTTCTTCCCCATCCACTCTCATCCACAAAGAAACCGGAGAAATTACTTTAAAAAGCAAAACTAATCATGCCACAGCCCTTAAAACCTCAAGAGATCCCCATGGCATCAGAAATGAAATACCAAATCCTTCACTAGTATCTCAGGGGCTGAAAGTCTTCTCTTCCTGTGTATGCAGCCTCTCCCTTAGCCACGTTCCCTGGGTTCACCGAACTTGAGTTAACACTAGCACCCCCTTGGTTCCTCAACACACCTTAGGGGTTTTACACATGCTGTTCCCTCTACCTGGGGCTCTCTTCCTCATACTCTTTGCCTGGCCAGCTGTGGCTCATCCTTCAAGTTTCCACTTAAATGTCAGAGAACTCCTCTGCTATCCCTAACTCCTCTGCTACTCCCCACACCCAATACCCTTAATCTCTCAGCACACCTTTTGCTTTTTTTTGAGAGCCTTTATCACATTTTGCAATTCTAATTTATTTATGTGACTTTTTTGTTTAACATCTGTTCCCCCGATTACTCTGTGTGCTTTATTCATGCTCTTGGACACTTCTATATCCTGGCACATTATAGGCACAAAAATGCTTTCAATGAGTACGAGAATAAATGCTTACTGGTGTGGTTTCTGCCTCACCCCAAGGTTCTAGAAATAAATTCATGTATCTGAATGGGTGGCAAGGGGCTCTAGAGTCGGTTTTGTTCAAATAGCTAAACATAATTGGACAATATGTGGCAGTTCACAATTTCAGAGATGCATTGCCCTCAAATTGCAGATTCATATTTATCTCCAAATAGTTGGTCTTTTGTCCCAATCGCTCTTCCTAATCTGGACACCTGCGAAATGAAAGTAGACTCACAGAGTTATTATGATTACGTTGCACCAAGATAACCTGTGAGACTCTTCTTCTTGTTTTGAGTTTTCTCTTTAGAGCTAAACTATTTCTTATAGTTCTCTAGCTTTCAGTAAAAAAAAAAAAAAAAAAAAAAGTTTCACTAGAAGCATTAAAAAAAACCAAACCTCCCAACAACAATAAAAACCTTACTTGGATCATTGTAACTGACTTAAGGGCTCTTGGCAACCAATCTTGTCTGGATATGCTCATCTCTTACTCCCTGGCGGTGTACGGAGTGCTTCTGTGTACATGGATTGATGTACAGCCAGGAATTTATGAAGCTTTAAATCATTCATCCAAAATAACACCTTCAATTTAAAATTGGACCAAAAGTAAAGGGAAGAGATGACCCTAAACGGGGAACTTAGCGATAAAGAAGAAAGGCCAATGTCATTACCAGGGAGGACGTTCCCATTCATAGAAGTAATAGGCCCATTAGAGTGGAGATTATACTTCCCTGCAAAGTATGGCTCTCTGAGAGATACCCTCCCACTGCCTCCCATGCCTTTCCCTGCTCCCTGCTCCACTTTTAAGACAATTGAACAACAACAACAAAAAAAAGACAATTGAACAACAACAACAAAAAAAGACAATTGAACAAAATAAGGACTCCAAGACCACAAATCAGGAAACCTAATTTTATCTATGTCCGCAGCAACTGTCTTCTCTCCAGCAAGTTTTTTTTAAATTTTTATTTATTTATGATAGTCATACAGAGAGAGAGAGAGAGGCAGAGACATAGGCAGAGGGAGAAGCAGGCTCCATGCACCAGGAGCCCGACGTGGGATTCGATCCCGGGTCTCCAGGATGGTGCCCCGGGCCAAAGGCAGGCACCAAACTGCTGCGCCACCCAGGGATCCCTCCCCAGCAAGTTACCAGGGTCCTGGGCTTTGCCCTAGGCTGGGTCCCAGGACTAGTGCTGGCTGACCCTGCAGGACAGGAAATGAAGAACAAAAGGCAGCATCTAAGGACAAGGGTAGTAAGACAACTAATAGAGACTTCAACAATTGAACACTAAGGCTTGTGTGTTCTGGAGGGTGGCAGGGAGCAGAGCTGGAGAAGGCCCGAGGCACTGGAGCAGAAGTAGAGCCTGGGGCTCGAGGATACCCATGGCTGGTGTCCTCTCCCCCGAGGGGATCTTCACTGTTTGACATCATTGTCATCCCCACTATTGCTCTCTCTGGCTGCCTCAGTTTCCTCAACTGTAATATGAAGGTAGTAGATCCTCTTTGTTCTTCAGGGGGTTATTCCTACAATGGAGGAGTCATTACTCATGGTTTCCATGCATTTTAAGAGATAGGTAACAGTTCTGGTCTGTGTCCCTGGTCCTAGAACCGCAGCAGGAGCCCAGGAAGGATGAGCTCAGGAACGGAGCTGTCTGGGAACATCCCTGGACATTAGCCTTGGCCATGCTGCTGCAGGCCGCTGGGGGCTTAGTCACCCCACAGGCACATCTGTGTGGGCCAAGGACCGGAAAGGCCAGATGGGCCCTCGGCTGCCTTATCTACCTGGAGCTGAGAATGAGCTACGGCTAGTGAAGGCCGAAGCAGCCCTGGGCCGAGCCCATGCTCACAGAGCCACGGCAGCGGGGCTGGCCCGTTGTCCAGCCTATTGATCAGGAATCAGGAAGAGCAGGGCTGCGGCAGCCTGGTGCCTGCGATGCATGCCCTGGGAAGGGAGAGGCTGCAAACCTATTGCTGTTGGAAACGGCTCAGAGAATGTGTTCAGGTGAACTTCCAGCTTCCCGGCTGCGGCAGGCCAGTGAGCTGTCTCTTTTCCACACAGGAGGGGCTGATCACGCACTTGGAAGGGGCAGCTTCTTCACCGTCTCATTTGCTCGGAGCTACTGGAATAGCAAGTGCCTTTTTTTGGCTGGTTAGACTGTTTCAAATGAATCCCAGCAGAAAACTGAAAAGCGAGTGCTGTCTGTCCCTCCTCCAGCCCTCTCCGTGCTGCAGAGCCTTCTGGCCTCAAGCAGAACAGCTGCCAGGCTCTGGGTACCACCTGCTGGCAGCTCTCCAGGCTTCTGTGGATCTGTAGCCTCCCAGCCCCATCCCTTATCCACACTCCCATCAAGTGTGGGCAATTCATTAAAGATCTTTCTCCAAGGTTTCTTAGTGACTCTGGAGCAGGTCACCAGAGGGTCATCTTAAACAGGCAGTTTTTGTTAGTCCTGATTCCGACATGACTTTCTCTAGCTGTCACCTGGAGAAGTGGGGAAGGGATCAGGGAGTGCTGAAATAGGGAGACCAAATAATTGTTGGGTGGAGGGAGGCACCCACGAAGAGGTCAGGGTGGGGGCGGGGCTTCCTACTGATCATTTTCTTGCTTAATTTTGCCTTGTGTCTCTCAAATCTGAAACACAGGACTGGCCAGTTCCTAGAAAGGCCGTTGTTGCTGTGATGTAACTTACTGCTTCAAAGACTCTTGGTTCAAGTTCAGTTTGAGCAGAATCCAGCTGCTCATCTGTTTGCTCTTAAAAGTGTCATTTCCATCTTGATATTTTTCAGTTTGAAGGAAATAAATTCTGGGTACCGAAGGCAGATAAACAAGGGTGGCTTGCGTACAACTGCCTTGGCTCAAGTTCTAGGACATTATGATTCTGCCTAATAAAACCCACGGGCTGTTTTCAGCTACTAAAATAAGATATTTGTTTTCCATTTAATCTCCTATAAAGAAATTTAGACATACATCTTTATTTCCTTCAGAATTTGTATATGAAGTTTAATTGTATGGTGCCTGCCATATTTTCAAAAACTGCTCACTCTCATTGTGTCTAGTTGTTGGATTCCCCCAAGTGTAGAAATAAATAGGGTCAGAATTATTTGGCTTTGGCACACCAGCAGAGCATATACTCAGTGGTGTCAACAGCAAAAAAAAATTTTTTTTAAAGTCATAATGGCTCTTTTGGCAAATGGCAGTCTCTTGAGTGACCTAATGACCCTGCTCTGCTGATCTGAAACCACACACCAGAAAATAAATAGGGAAGAATCTTGGCTTTGACACATGATACCTAAAGGACAATGATTAACTTTAAAAATTCAAAAAACTTCCTGTCTTCTTTCTTCAAAAATTGGGTTTTATTTATCTTCTATCAGAGAGAGAAAGCGAGCAGGGGGGAGGGGCAGAGGAAGAGGGACAAGCAGGGAGCTCAGCAGGGAGCCCAACATGGGGCTAGAACCAAGGACGGGCTGGATCCCAGAGGCTGGATCCCAGAGGCTGGATCCCAGGACCCTGGGATCATGACCTGCGCCGAAGGCAGTTGCTTAACTGACTGAGCCACCCGGGTGCCCCTTCAAAAATTTTTAAAAACAGTTTTGTAGTGAAAGTGCTCTCTGCAATGAGGCTTTTCCTACAGAGGATGGTATCACTGAGCCTGCCCACTCAGGGCCTTTCTCTAGGGACTCCCACCTGAACTTAAGAGGGCTGGTCAGGTCTTCCCTGGGGAGCTCCTAGCAGGTGGTTCTCACCCTCCTCAGTGTGTGCACTGTTCAGACATGAAAGGAAACAGGCAGCAGAGTGTGTGCTCACTGGGCAGTGTGTTCATGAACTTGAAATTTCATTTGTTCATAGGACAGTTAGTACTGAGTGTCTAATTGTTGAGTGCCAGACACTTTCTAAGCACTAGAGTTTTATAGTTTTAGGTCTTAGATCCTTTTTGAGTTAATTTTTGTATATGGTGTAAGGTAAGGGTCATTCTTTTGCACGTGGATATCCACTTTTCCCAATATCAGTTCTTGAAAAGATTGTTTTTTTTTTTTTTCTCATGGAATAGTCTTGGCACTCTTATCAAAAGTCACTGGACATATTTGCAAGGGTTTATATCTGGGCTATTTTATTCCATTGGTCTATATGTCTATCTTTATGCCAGTACTACACTGTTTTAATTACTGTAGCTTTGTAATAAGTTTTGAAATCAGGAACTGTGAGACCTCCAACTTTGTTCTTCTTTTTCAAGATTGTTTTGCCTATTCAGGATCCCTTGAGTTTGAATTTTAGAAAGGATGTTGTTATTTCTGCAAAAAATGTCACCGGGATTTTTAAAAATCATTTATTTATTTATTTATTTATTTATTTATTTATTTATTTATTTATTTATTTATTATAGTCACAGAGAGAGAGAGAGAGAGAGAGAGAGAGAGAGAGAGAGAGAGGCAGAGACACAGGCAGAGGGAGAAGCAGGCTCCATGCACCGGGAGCCCAACGTGGGATTTGATCCCGGGTCTCCAGGATCGCACCCTGGGCCAAAGGCAGGCGCCAAACCGCTGTGCCACCCAGGGATCCCGTCACCGGGATTTTGATGTCAAATCTGTAGGTTGCTTCAGGTGGTATTGACATTTTAACAATATTAAGTTTTCCAACTATGAACTGTCTTTTCACCCATTTGTGTCTTTTTAAATTTCCTTCAGTAAAATTTTGTAGTTTTCATTGTTATACGTCTTTTACCTCTTTGGGTAAATGTATTCCTAAGTATTTTATTCTTAGGATAAATTGGAAATTAAACTGTTTCCTTAATTTCCTTTTTGAATTATTCATTGTTAGTGTATAGAAATGTAACTGATCTTTGAATTTTGCTTTTATATCCTGCAGCTGCACTGAATTCACTTACTAGTTCTAACACGGTATGTGCATGTATGTGTGTTTGTGTGTACATGTGTATGGAATCTTGAGGCTTTTTTATATATAATATCATATCATCTGTGGACAGATGTTAATTTTACTTCCTTCTTTACAATCTGGATACTTTTATATCTTTTTCTTGACTAATTGCTATGGTTATGACTTCCAGCCCTATGTTGAATATAAGTGGTGAAAATGGTCATCTTTGTTCTTGATCTTAGAGGAAATGCTTTTGATTTTCCACTATGGTGCTGTGAGCTTTTCATAAATTGCCTTCATTATGTTGAGGTAGTTTTGTTTTATTTATATTTATTTTTTTAAATTTTTTTTGGTAGTTTTGTTTTATTGAATGTTCTTATCATGAAAGAGTGTTGAGTTTTGTTGAAGGCGTGTTTTGCATCAATATAGATAATCACATGTTTTTTTCCCCTTTATTCTGTTAATGTGTTATATGATATTAACTGATTTTCATATGTTGATCCATTCTTGCATCCCAGGGATAAATTCTACTGGGTTCCACTTGGTGATTATGTATAATCCTTTTAATGTGCTATTCAATTCTGTTTGCTAGCATTTTGTTGAAGGTTTTTGCATCTATATTCATCAGGAATATTGATCTGTAGTTTCCTTGTTTAGTGTGCTTGACTTTCATTGTCAGGGCGGTGCTAGCCTCATAGAATAAGTTTGGAACTGTTCTTTCCTCTTCAACTTTTTTGAGTTAATTTGAGTTTATATAAATTAACTTGAAATAATGTCTATGTTCAGCAATCAGTTTACAAAATTCCTGAAAACTTAACAATTCCTGCTCTTCTGAGCAGGGATGAAGTAGATCCAGTGCATCTTTGAACATGGTCATGCCTGAGGTGCCCTAAAGTGCTTATTTTTGTGTTAACCAAAGTCCTGTGTAGAAAAAGGAAAAGAAACCAATTTTAAATGAGAGATGAGTGACTAATCTCTTACTTGCTGAATAAAAAGGTTTTTCCTAAGAGTTCATATGCCCAATAAAAGACATATTCAGGAATGTTTATTGCAGTTATATTTATAATGATTAAAAAATGAAAACAACTCAAATCTCCATCTGCAGTAGAATCGGTAGGTAGTATTACACAATGAAATACTAACCCAACAGTGAACATAAATGAACTCCAGCTACATGAGACAATATGGATGGACCTTATACACATAATTTTGAGTGAAAGGGGTAATATATACAAAAAATACACATTCCAATTATATGAAGTTCAAAAATAGACAAAACTAATCCATGACGTTAGAATCAGGATAGTGGTTATCTCTGGGGAGTTGTTGATTGGGAGGGACAGTGCACGAGAGAGTTTCTGGTTTACCAGACATGTTCTGTATCTTGATTCGGGTGGTGGTTATATGAGTGTGTACATTTGGAAAAATTTTGTGCTGTATATTTAAGATTTATGTGCTTCACTGAAATCATGTTATACTTCAAAATAAAAAGCTGACTGTCTTCCTTCTTTATTTTTAAATCATACTTTTCAATTCCAAAAATGCCAGTCTTAATCCAGGAAGCTAAAAACAGAGTTCAAAGAGAAACAACAATTCTCTAACCCTTTATCTTTTTTCCAGTGTTTCCAATTTATTATCTTCCTTCCACTCAATCCTGCTGCTTGCAAAAACTGGTGCAAGCGTGCCTGAATCCAGCTTCTTCTCTGCCAGTGGACCCATGGTCTAAGCATGGTCCTATTTGGTTGGCGTTATTATAGTCACTCCCTCTGTATCTTCCTCCAAAATGCCTAGCCCCCCGTGTAACTGTCTTTGGAGAACAGGCACCTAAAGAAAAAGTTAAGATTCAATGAGGTTATAAGTGTAAGACCCTAATACAATATGACTGCTGTCCTTTTAAGAGGAGGAAGAGACTCCAAGGATGTGAGCACAGAAGAAAGGCCATGTGAGGACAGTGTGAGACAGTGGGCATCTGCGAGCCAGTGAAAGGCTTGAGGAGAAACCAGACCTGCCAACACCTCGATCATGTACTTTGAGCTTATAGAAAGAACTGTGAGAAAATACATTTCTGTTGTTTAAGCCATCAGGATTATGGTATATTGTGATGGCAGCCCTAGCTGCCTGATGGGTCTCTTGGCTTTTGCACTCACCTACTGCTAGAGGGGGAGCCTGTTAAAGTGTGACCATGGCCTTCCTCTCCTCTGCTTAGAACCCTATTGGTTTCTCATGCAGCTCAGACAATAGCCCGTCCTCACGCTGGCTGCAATGTATTATTCGGTCCCTGTTCTCTCTTTGATTTCATCTCCTCGTTGTACCTCCACTCTTTCACAGACCTCTGACCACAGCCTCTTTGCTCTTTCCCAAACATGCCAACTGTGTTCTGTCTTAGGACCCTTGTGATGGTCCTTCTGTCCCTAACACTCTTCCTCCAGGTATTGGCATGACTCACTATATATTTCTCCTTGTCCTACAGGTACTCCTCAATGCCATTCTTTCTGTCAGGCCTTCTAACCAAGTAAAGAGTAAATTCTATTCTCAGTCCAACATTCTCTATCCCTTATCCAAATTTATTTCTTTTCACGATTTTTACTACCTTTGGACATTCTACTCATTACCTTCTTTATTATTTGTCATCTGAACTTGCTTATTGAATAAACAAAAGAATGAATTTTTGTGATGTTTTTTTCTACCTGTAAGTATCCTGTGGTGGTCTGATTTTATTCCAAAGGACTTCTGAAGCAAGCCTAAGGAGCTTGTTTATGCATAGTATTAAGAACAGCAGGAGATCAGGCTCTATGAGGCTTAGTGGGCTTTTAGGAAACTTTGGGGTCTCAGGACCTGGGGAGTAGCACAACATAACAGATTGTGAAGACTGGGCCCTTGTTACTACCTTCCTTATGTCTAAGTCAGCCCAGCACAATCCAATTGACTACTGTGCTCCCATCACTGAGGAAGGAATAAATATATGTGAATTGCATAGCATTAACAAAAAGTTGGTGCTGTGAATTGGGGTGCCAGCTGCCACTGGCCATAATTAAAATGGAGTGTTATGGCGTTATAATTCTGTTAAATGCAAAACCTTCTTGTGGCGCGTGGGAACACATGAAAAAGAATCTCATTAGATGCAAGTACTTACTCAGACTGTTCCATCAAACTCCCTCAAATGCCACTTAGCGAGCGCCTGGGAGATGTGGTGGAGGTGCACCTCCTTTGATGTGTGGCAGCTGTCAGCAGCAGAACAAAGCCCCTGCCCCAGGATAGTTTCAGTGCTAATGGGGGTACACAGAAGACACAGCCGTATTTCTGAGCAGTGGACATTAGGAACATCTAAGGGGACTTCCGCACCTCTCAAGATTGTTAGTATCTTAATAAGATTGATCACACAATGATTAGTGGGTGATTCTGACTTCTCAGCAAAATGGAACAAGAAGGCATAAGGGGGCTCTTTCCCAGAGCAGCTGTGAAGTCCAATCAGGAGGTGATAAACCCCAGAGAACAACTGATTATACAAGGTCAAAGGCAGCCTCCGGGGTCACCGCCCCAGATAGCCTCCGTGCTGGCAGGCCCAGGAAGGCAGGGCTCCTGCAGGAGCTGCCAGGTGACAGCTGCGCCTGCACCTCCACTGCCCCCGCGGGGTCACTTTCCAGGCCCAGAAGCTGGAGAAGCCTGGCTGTCGGCCCTGATTCAGCTGTCTGGGTAATTCCGAACATTTGGCATCACATCTGGTGTCAGTGATTTGGTTACTGTTTTACATATTTCATTTCATGATGGGTATTAAGGGATGAAACCAGTCGCCCACAGATGCAGGGAGTGTGGAGAAAGAACCCGCTTCTGAGCAAGTCCTTCGGTCACAAGGTTAATATGCTTCTGTGGCTCCTGTAAAAACTCTTTTAATTGACACCTGGCTCAAGGCCAGGAATGTAGGAAGAGTCTGTCCTCCAGCCATCACTGTACCGTGGGGACCTCTCATTCCACCCTTCCTGGTGTGACCTCCTGGCCATGCTGCCTTCCCACCCAGGCTGCCCAGGATCAGCCCAGCTTGTTCCCGGCCGTGGCTGTCGGAACATTCAGTTTTTCATGTCACTCACCCATAATGGGGTATTGGCTCTTTGGAAAGAGAAAAGTCTCCAATGTGTAAGTCACATCTAAGTCAGGCATGGGACCATGTCACAAGGGTGTCCATTCAGATGAAAAGAGGCAATGCACACGGGATCCTGTTACCGCTATGAGTGGCTCACACGCGAGGGAGGGCAAAGGGCAGGCTTTTTAAGCAGGACTTTCATGCAAAGAACATGGGATTTGTGTCCAGATTCTACCTCTTGCCTGTGGTGTGATTGTGGACAAGTCTTGCAGCTCAGTGTCCTCACCTGTCATGGGGACAACCACATATCTGAGATGGTCATTGTGGGGTCTGAGCAGGTGGGCTCTGTACACATGTTCTTTTTTTTTAATTTTTTATTTATTTATGATAGTCACAGAGAGAGAGAGAGAGAGAGAGAGAGGCAGAGACATAGGCAGAGGGAGAAGCAGGCTCCATGCACCGGGAGCCCGACGTGGGATTCGATCCCGGGTCTCCAGGATCGCGCCCTGGGCCAAAGGCAGGCGCTAAACCACTGAGCCACCCAGGGATCCCCTGTAGACATGTTCTGACAGTTGTCCATCAGTGCAAAGGGCAGGTGGCCTCCTTGGCCTGGAGGACTTGGAGGCTGTCTGCCACGTGGGTGCACGACCTCTTCTCCCTCAGAACTGCACCTCCCCAACACGACCCTTCCTGCCCACCTCCACATCCTTCCTCATGCTGTCCTCAGGCCCATCTCCCTGCCACCTTCCAGGTCCTACTGTCCCTGCTCCAGCTGCAATCTGTTCCTTTGGGACAGGTATCCCTGATGTCCTCTGAATTTATTGCCAAGGCATGCGATTGACACTCAGGAGTGACGGCGCCCCCTTCTCTAACCATCCCTGCACAGCAGTCCAAGCCTCGCCAAGCAGACGCCTGAGCCTGAGGGCAGAAACTAGGCTTGGTACCCCTGTCTTGCTGCAGGAGCCAGTTGGGAGACTCAGCCAATACTGAAGCACCTGCGTTTCCAATCACAGGATTGAAACGGTGTTGTTGACACGGTACAATAGTTTGCCAGGGTTTCCTGCTATTCTTATCCAAGTTGGAAGTGAAGTGACTTCCTTGGAGAAGGTGGTGGAACTATGAGTCCCTGGAGAACAGTGGAGGCGAGCCCCAGGCCGGCCAGGCAGGAAGCCTGACGAGAGACGGCCTGTGCCTGGTGCTCGGCCGCCGGTGGGCGTGGGTGCCTGGGCCCTGCAGAGCCCCGGCAGTGCCGGGCAAGGACCGCAAGACCAGAGAGAGCTTTTGTTTCCAGAAACAAGGGACTTATTATGACTTTTCTTCTAATTCTAAAATATCTATTAAGCTTTCACAATGAGCCAAATACTATTTATAGGGTATCTAATAAGATGTTCTGGCTCTCAGAGTTAGTTTTGAAAGCACAGTAATCATAGTTTTTCAGATAGTAAGGAAATTTGTTTTCCTGAGTGCCAAATGGCTGGGCCCCACCCGTGCTGCAGTGTGTAGCTGAGTGGGTCTACAGGGGCTGCTTGGCAGACTGTCCCACCCCGCCCCAGGCCCCAGCTCCAGCTGTCAGGTGTCCTCCCTGAGGAGTTAGCACCCCAAGACCCCTTCATGGGTCATAGTCTAAATGATGAAGCTTTTCGCCATTAGGGTAAACCAGACAAAATATAGGGCAGAAAAGCCAAACATCAGCAATCTCATATAGTTGACCTTATAGATGTCATTTTGAATGAAACAGATAAACTTACGTTAGCTAATAGCTTAAAGGAAGCTTAGAAGTAATTAGGAACCCAGACTCCGCTAGATAGGCCTGGGGTCAAACGCCAGTGCTGCCACTCCCTGGCTGTCCAACCCGGGCTCATTGTTTCCCCTCAGTTAGCAAATGGAGATAAGATGATTAAAATTTGCAACACAGAACAATGCTCTTAAGGATAAGCACTAGTACTGGTAAGTCTTGATGTGATATTGGTGATGAAGCACATCTTAGACAGTGTGTCTTCCCTTGTCTGCTTGGGAGGCATGCTGAATGCTGAGTGCACACTCTGTGCTCAGCATTTTTCTGAGTAGATGACATATACTGATGTGCATAACTCTCATAACAACCTCCAAGGTAGATACTACTAATTTTATTCCCGTTTTACAGATAAGGAAATGGAGGCACAGGTAGGCAAGATAACTTGCTCAAAGTACATAGCTGGACAAGGGCAGATCTGGGGACTCAAACCCCAACCCAGGCAGTCTGCCTCCAGAGTCCCCACAGGTAACTTCCCTGCACTTGGCTTCTCTCTGGCACCTATAATCTACTAGGATAAGAACTGAATTTCAAAAGTCTGTCTTATTTAAAAATGGGCAAAAGGCCTGAACAGACACCTCACCAAAGAAGATATACAGATGGCAAATAGGCATATGAAACTATGCCAAAACAGCTTATACT